AATTACGATATTGAATATTGTTAATATACATATTTATGAGGAGTTAATTTTTTTGCTTGATCAATATTATAATATTATTTAATAAGTAATTCCATACCAAAATGATTCATTATATTTAGTTTATTGCTTCAGAATAACGTTTACAGGAGATGATGAAAATATAATATTTGGAAAACTATACTATGTCGTAATACCTATAACATTATTATGTATTAATAAACTCCCTAGAAATACCATAAAATATGTGCTAAGAGTATATAAATTTAATGAAGGTACGGAATTATGATTTTTTCAGTAAACTCTATAACAACATTGCATTATAATAGGGTTAAGTAATAAGTATATACGTAGGTTCACGAAGGTGGAAAAAATATTAATTTTTTGTGTAAACTTAAAAGGATTTTATTATTAGATTGCTTGATAAAATATATAAAAAAATAAATAATTCCCTTAAAGTCAATTTTCTGTGGAACGTAACAAAATAGATTTTTTCATGAAATATTGTTAATATTAAAATCGACAAGCAGCGCATAAAAGATTATTTGATTTTTTTTTTTTTTTTTTTGCTGCAACTGGAACGTATGTGTATACATACAATAAAATCGTAGGTATGTATTGTATAGTATCTGTAACGTAATACATTTCAAAACGGAGAAATTTTTTCCGGTAACTTAAACATTAGTTGATAGATTGGACGATCGGTGATCAGATAGTATATAGGTTTCTGAAATTAACTTTCAACCAGTCTATTATACTCGCTGTATTCAGGAATAACGATATAGTACCTACAGTAAGTTGTAAACGTCTATAAATTGTAAAACTATCAAAATCTTACAAGCTAGATCACTATATTCAAGCAATTTTCCATATTATATTATATGCACCTAAGAAATTTATAGAAAAACAGGAATATTATTGAAATTATAGCGAGTACAGTATTATGACATTTTCGTAGAGTATGAAACAAAAAAAATTTGGATATATTGTGATTTCATCTTTAATTTAAGATATTGTAAAATAAAAATCATAGTAATCATACGTACGTAACATATTGTACTATATTTTTTACAGTGCTGTCTTGTATAATGCAGTATACCTAAACGTCCTAAACTGTGAGAGTCGATTCGGTGTTTAAATTCAATTGTAATATTGCAATATCAAAAAAAAAAAAAAAAATTAAAAAAAAAAAAAAACTACTTACGTATTATTTAATATTAATAATATTGAATTTGACTACAATTAAGTATTATAAACAAGTAAGTAAAAATAAAAAAAGTAAACTAATGAATGAACAAAAATGTACTCTTAAAAATCGGACAATACCACAATGGCCGGTCGACGTTACACTGCATTACCCGGAAGTCTTTTCTACACAATATATAAACTCGTTGTTTGCTTGTAAACTCTTCGTCGATAAGCGACGACTCGATCGCGATCAGTGGCAATAAAAATTTTCTAGAGGCAAGTCACAAATATCCCATGTATTAATGCATAGTAATATTGTATTAATATAATATATCAACTGATTATATTTTAGATCGTTATTGACTACGCTATTGAGTACCTACATCATATTACATTTACTAGGGGACCCACCAGCAACCACCCACCCCTCTATTTAAGGAAAATCTCGGAGGAATATCAGTTCACCACGCCACACTGATCGCGATAATGAAACATCCGGAAAATAAAAAAAAAATCGCATTAATTTATTGGTTTAGACCTTCGAGCGAGCCAACGACCACGTTTGTATATATTACACGAGTAAAATGTCATACCATCTCGCGGCCACCGTCGTCGTCACCACGTTGACTTTGTTTTCCTGCTCTGGCCGTGAGTGTGATATACGACCGATCGATTCCTCCTCATCTCAACTAAAATATCAGAGCCGAAGAGACTTTTATCGCGGTTGTGTGTGTGTGTGTGTGTGTGTGTGAAAATGTTTACTGAACGCTAGTCAAAAATATTGCACGCGTGTCATGGTCGAACGGCGAGAGCTGACTATTGACAAGTGAATTATCATGTAATGTTGACGTGACGTGCGGTTTATGGCTTTGTGGCACTTATATATTTTATGCGATGGACCAGGTTTTCGGTAGTAGGTTTTATCGGAAACGCTGTTGACAATAACAAAGGTTATCGATACGCGTTCAATCGATTACGGGTGTATATGAAATGAATCGCCATAACTTTTTTTCGAGTTCCGAATTTATATCCGAATTGCATCGGTAAATTGATATTTATTTTTTTTATTTTTCTTAAAACAAATTAAACCGTTGTTTTGACATTCGATAAGGTTGTATAGGGATGGGGGAAAAAAACTTTATATTATTTTTAATGGGTCATTTTGACTTTTGAAAACCTATCTGAATTGTAAATTTCCAAAGGAAACATTTTACTTGATTGCCTTGTCAAAAATGTGACTTTCTGCCAACCACAGTTGTGTTAATGTAAAAGAAAAGTGCTCAAAAAGTTTAACTGCAAAAACTATATCCCTTCAATTCAAAGTAGAAATGTATGAATGCAATCACATGTATGTTGTTTGAATACGTCTTTGATATGCATATACATGTGAGATGGAACAAAGTAAATATATTATTATTGAAAAAATGTGATACACAATACGATCTAATATTCCTAAGTACATTTTTTTTCTTGTCATCATATTTTTTCGAAAACCCTCTGAAACTTTTCTCCACGGTGTGCCTATAAATAAAAAAACAATTTTCCTCTAACATGCAATCAACACGTCATGACAGTTTTTATAAAAATGGAATAGCTAATACGGTTACTGCTCAGAAAATTAATCAAGTACGATCACTAGTTCTGAGTAAGTCAAATTCCTTAGAATTGTTGTCCATTGTGAAGCTTCTAACTAGGTACCAACTGGTGTTCAAACAATCGATTTTTTTTTAAATTAATCAACATGGTGTATAGTTTAGTTCCCATCGTCATTAGATTGAAAAGCATCCAAACGTATGAAATCCGTACTACCTAATAATATTATAAGAATCGAATTTAGAAATATTAAAACCTGCAATTTTAATTGCATTTGGATCATTGTGTTTATTTTTTGATCGAACAAATATCAGTTAGTGGCTTAGCTAGTGCTATAATAAAAACTAACAAGTAACTACATAAGAAAGTTTGATTTAGAAATAACTATTAGAACGCTTCATGTTTTTAATTTCAAAACTTAAATACCAAACAGAATGAAGACTGGAAAGTTTCGATGAATATGGCTACTGAAGTTTGAACAACGTTGGTACCTAATCGATTTTACGGGTTATGTGTTTCTTTCTTTGGCTTAGTTATATTTTTCCAAGTACCTGCAGTTTTCAATAATAAACGTAAATTGTTTCTATTTCTTTTTTCTTTAACTCGTTTCTCATTTTCAATTCATTCTTCTGGCGATTTGCACGAGAGTTTTTAAGGAATAACTCCTATAGCGTTTTATCAATTAACTAAACGCGTAGGTGTTCTTCAAACTTCAAGCGATCGTCGTCGATCAAAGACATTACTTATAAAATATGTACCCACTTAATAGTCCGACAGTGTCAATAACTATTAAAATAACTATATAATATTGTGTTATCAATGGTTAAGTGTCTAAAATGTCATAATTAGGGATAGGGACTTCTAGGAATTAGTATGTTTTAAATTAATCATTTAAAACATAGCTAAGTAATATAGAAATTTGTATCATAGCAATGCGAGTTTATATTTGATTATTTTTCATTTATCTAAAATTAGTGTTCGTTTTTCTCGCCATATTGTTACTTATTGGTACACCACATGCGCGATTTGCTAATACTCAATGTAAGAAGAAAAAAAAATCAAAAAAGAAAATTATCAATTATTTGTTAATATGAAAGATTTTTATTATAAATTTAAATTTAAAATTTTGAAAATATAATCTAGATATAAAAATAAAAAGGTTTTTTCCAATATTATATAATATTATTTTTTTTCTTAATGCTTATTTTAATAGCATATTTAATGATTCTCTAGGGCATAAGTGCATGCATATTTTAAGGTTTTTAAGGGCGTGTAGTCCCTAGCCCTAGTCGTGATGATAATACATAATATTGTTGTTCCGACACGTGTTCATCTAACACTTTATCGGGGTCCGCCACGACGAACGCAACCCACACACTAATCGAATTTTTAAAACAGCCATAAACATCGTCGTGCTCTAAACAGTAAGTATAACGAATAAAATACAGTTAATTGGTGCGCACGAACCATTTTAAAATAAAATACTGACTACAATATATACGCTTTGGACCGCAATACCACTATTGGGATCTATTTTTTCTACATGAAAGCCGATTTTTCGTGCTCTATTCGAGTTCTCTTTTTATTACACGACTTCGGTTTACCGTACACAATAACGATAACATTAGACCACTTTTCGATTTAATCCGCTCGTACCCGACCCACCGACCAATTCCGTTCGCTGGTTCCTTTACCTACGTGCTTTTATCGACGTTTATACCTTGACATTACGTGTTTGTTTAGTTCCACACACCCACACACAGACACATCAAATCAATATTTAGTATTTACATTATTGGCCGTCGTTTAACCGTTGTCGAATAATATAATCGTATACGATTATGTACCTAATAATCCGGACGACACGCGACGTGACGAAACCGAGCAAAACGCGATCATTTAAACACCGTCTGCAGACGAGTACACACATAATAATATTATAATACATATTATATTAGTTTTTGTGTGGAAAACGTCTCATAGGAAATCGCGACGAAAGCTTCGAAATGTGTTTTATACTTTTATGTGGTAGCAATAATAATAATAATAACATTGCAGTCGGTGGGTTCAGGTGATGAATTATTTTGAGCTCGCATTGATTGATAACAATAATCTTACGGATAATATAGGTAAAACAAATACTGTACCAGGTCGATTTACTACCTTTATGACTATTATTGATGTTATTATTTATTTTAGAAATTCAATATTGTAATACTCACAGTAAACGCTCAGCGTTATCCTCTTGCTGACTGCAGGTGGTATACCGTTGCTGGCTATGCAGAAGTAAACGCCGGTCTGTCTTCTGTCAAGCCGCCAAAGTTTCAGGTCGTTACCGATATACGAATTCTCTGCCAACAAGACAACAACAATAACAATAATAATAATAATAATAATGATGATAATAATAATAATAATGACATCCGTTTACCACCGCGGTAGTAGTATTAGTGGTATAGTGCGCCACCACCACCACCACCACCACCACCACCAAAGAGCATACTTTTCCTCGCCCTCAATACTACGACCTCTTTGCTGTCGTACCGCGCATGGATGACAGTCTTCCCACCGTCCTCCCGACAAACCCTTGTGCTCCCGGCGACGTTTTTACGAGCCGAATCTCTTGGGAACTATTTGCGCTGGAGGAGAGGACCTTTCCCTTTTTATTTTTGCTTTTTGGTTTTGACATGTTTAAGTGCACGCCGGTATTTTATACACCGCAAGGCCAGCGGTCAAAGACAGACTCAAAATCCAAGCTCCGAGGTAAAAAATAACAAAAAAATCATCTCCGGCAAAGGCCGCCGCTCGGAAAAACATAAAGCCAAAACTAACGTCTGTAATTCGTCGAAAAATCGTTTACACAATGTGTTTTATTTGTGGTCAAAGTAGTACTACGCAATAATTCATCGATCATACGCCATTTTGTAAATAATTCGATTTTTTTCTTTATTTTCTTAGACTTTTAACTTTTACACAATCCATAATATTATTATGCGATGAAAACATTTTTATTTTTTAAACTAATTAATTCGACCCGACACAAAAATATGTATTCGTTCCTACGACCTATATTCCTATCCGCGGATTTTAGATAATATTTACTTCACTAGGTACTGTTTTAGTATTAGCAAAACAAAGAATCACCAGGAACAGGATTAATAACAGACTGCTTACGGTTGGTGGTTAAAAAATATGTGCAAAACCTGAGTATAATTAATATATAATAATATTATACCTACTTATATATTATAGTATATTACAGGAATGCTGATTGCTTTATATAGTCTTTTCTTAAATAAAATAAAAATATTTTACAACATATACAGCTCGAAGCCGAAGCTTGCATATGTGGGCAAAATGGTTTACATTGAGTAGTGTATAATTCCAACACGAATATTATTGATGCAATCGGAAAAAGAAAGCTTATATTTTTAATATATTTTTGTTTTAAGTAATTAATGTACTGGTGGATTTTCTAGGCTTTGCAAGTATTGGTCTGATATTTTTTTTTTTTTGTAAATAATAAAAATATTTTTCTATGTAATTAAGTTATAATACATAATTATTATAGACTATGGATATTACAATCAAACAGTAATAATCCGAAACAAACTACGACGACTGGCAGTGAAAATCCGAAATTCGGTTTCTTCGAAAAAGAAAGAAATATTATAATAATAATACCAATACGTCGATTTGTCGGTTTCGTATTTGCTCTATTTCCATCGGACAGGATTCACTGAATTGATAATAGGTACACTGAAGGGAATTCCACAATACCGTTTTTTTGATGAAAAATACACCTTACGCATTCCAACGTACCGACTTGAGTTTTACACCGATAATAATTTTGAGAACAGATTTTATTTTTTTGAAGAATTCCAAATTAATATCGGCATAAAACTCAAGCTAGTACGTTGGAACCTATATAGGTGTATTGTGCTCCAAAAACCTAGAGCTTGGAATCCCCTTATAACTTACTCCACTAATCCACTGTGTGCGCTATAAATTAAAAAACATAGCTAACTCGTGACCAAAATATTAACTTAAGTCTCATATTTATATATATTTATAATGTATCACTAATCATTGTAGTATTGTACTTATTGAAACAATTATAAATTATTTAATAGATTTGTATTTGAAGACAGAATATTGTTTTAATTACAATTTTACGATAACCATGGGCATTACGTATACTAAATGTTCTCCAGTTTATTTACAACTATGACGATTAACAATTAGAAATAAATAATAATTGTAAATATCGTATGCGTTAATCAATTTTGCGGGTGATTAGAGGTATTGTTGTATTGGTTTTTTGATCGCGCGTTCAGTTATTTCAAGGGGTTATTTATTCTTTAAATTATTCTTTCATTCGAATATTTTAATACATTTAATTCGAATTTAATTAATGTAAATAATGTAATCAGTTTAAAAATAGAGTATAGTGATGGTGGTTATGAGATGTATGTTATGAAGTTTTGAGTTAAGTGTATGGAGTAAAAATTATATTAAAAATGTGAAAGCGGCAATTCATTGTTTAAATCGTAGTTTGTTTAATTTCAGTATTTTTTATTTTAGATCTGTCCTTACATGCGAGCAACCGAAGCTGAAAAATCATAAATATAAAGTAGGTGGTTGTTTTATTTTTTGAATTAACAATAAATTCTGTGCAATTATATTATTTAAATTTTTAAGTAAATACAAAACTCTATTTTTATGTTTTATAAGAAAAATGAAAGCAATGAGTTTCTGTTTGACTCGTGGCTTTGTTCTAGACATTTTAATTACGGGATTTGCGTAGTGTGTACTAGGGATGCTAATGTAAATTATACGTTATTTTGTATTTATACTGTGTAAAAATAAACTTAAATAAGCATATAAAATAACTATTCAGTCATAATAGCTGAATCAACATAAAAATATATTCATTTTGTTTTAGAATATTAATAATTCTAATCGTTTTACACGAGTGCATCATACATTACACCCAGTAAATAAAAACGTCTGAGCTTGATATACCTATGATTTTTATTATTACGACTCAAATAGGATTATTTCATGTCTGTGATTTTTTTTTTAAATTAATTTTTACCACGATTCAAAAGTTTAAGCCGGCTATAAAACGTGCGTTTAATTGTGTTTTGTTATGAGACTTAATATTTAACAGCGGAGTAAAATTGAATTGATTTTTTTTTTTTTATGAAAACCGACGAGAGTGCACTATATTATAATACAATTGTGACGCTGAAGACCGTAATTCCTTCCGTTTCTACAAAAAAAAAAAAAAAACCATGTTAATTCAGAACGCGCAGGAAAAGCGCACTCGCGATAAGTTTTCCGCCTATATTACGGCAGAGCATTACAATTAAAGTCTCGGCGGCTGCAGTGGCGTAGGTATACGGAGCGCTACTCAAAGCGACTTAAACGTACATAAAAATGTCCAAAGTTAACTTTTAAACGTAGTTTTATGGAGCCGCGCGCGAAGGTGAAATTTTAATATACTCACATGGTTGAGAGTTTTTAGAGCCGAAAGACATCAACCGTTGTTATCTATCACGCACTTACCGTCGGCTCCTTGGTATATAAAACCACGAGAGCGGAAACCGTATATACGAGTAGATTTAGAAACTTTTACAAAGGGCCACAATAACAGTTTCGCACTGCTTCCTCTGTGTTCGCTCGAAAAACCACTCGACGGTTGTAAACTAATATCGCGCATGCGCGCATCGCGTCATATTATAATGTACTCGGCAGTCTGTTTTTTGTATAAACATTGCGGCCCTGGCCGTAAGACAACCGCTCTCGGCATATTTTTATCATTGCGATACGCATAGGTAGTCGATAATAAACGACGTAACAAAAAGCGAGGCAGAAGTCAAGGTGAAAAAAATGTAAAACTTTTGATAATTTTGTCGAGGTTAACGATGGTTTTTGACGAACACGTTATTGGGAAACATTTCGACGACGAACTTTCGACTACGACGACGTTTTCGGGGAACTTTTTAAAGGTACATATGGGTAAAACAAAAACGGCTTTATACCGATTAGAGACTTACTTCTGCATAAAAAATTTTCTTGTAAAAAAAAAATGTCTCTGAAATATGTTAATATTGATATTATACGCCTGTGGTAATATAGATGATGTTTGTAACGAAAAACCTAATCATTTGTTATCGATAATCGTTAACGGAACGGTACTACAATATAATAAATAATAAAATACACATTATATTGCAGATTGTTGGTTATCTCGATAGATAGTATATAGTATATAGCTTAGTGCTGCTAACCTTCCTCGCCGGGCCAAGAACGTTATTACACTGCTTTAGCCCGAAGTGGTCTAATGTGCGCGCTAGTGAAACTACAAAAGATTCATACGTCAGATAATCGGCGGGGAGAGGGGTGTGTAGGGGTCTGTTATTTTTGTATACAATAATATATAACCTTCGTAGAGAATATAATATTGTCATATCGAAAATATTGTTTTACAGCAAACCGGTGCCGCCGGGACGAAACGCAACACAACGGTATTAAACAAGAATTTCGTCGGAAAGTTTTCGAAATTTATTTCGTCGCGTTTATTGACGTCACGCTCGGCTCAGTGATTTGTACGATTGTGACAAAAAAAAAAAAAACAAACAAACAAAGCACGGTTAAGTGGCCGAAATGTATTCCAATAACTCCTCCGCCGCCGCTGCCGTTTTGGGATTTGTTTGAATTTTTGATTTGTTTCGTTCCGCCAAGGTGGAACAATAATAATAATAATAATAATAATAATAATAATAATAAAGGAAGAAAGCAAACCCGGCCCGACGTCTGCGGCGGCGTCTCGTTCCGCGATAATACTGCCTATAAAATATTTCGTACAAGTTTTTCTTTTGTGTGCCTCCCGCTAAAACATTAAATAAAACTTACAAATAGCGTACGTAATTTAAATGAATCTCTAGAATCGCCGCCGAGAAATGCGCAAAGTAAAAAGTTTAAAACTATAATAATTGTGGCGTAAAGTTTTGACGTCTGCCGCGTGTTAGGTTTGTGTGTACTTACTCAAAATGTAATTGTAGACCTCGACGAGGACTTGAGCGCGTAACAGGTAACGGGACGACGTCGGGGGGCGTAAATTCACTTAGGAGGTACAATATTTTTTTCTATTTTTTTTGTTTTGTTTTGTCGTTTTTCCATTGGTGTTGAACCCGTTCCTCTGTGGAGTTTAATGTCCGTACACGGAAAAGTCCTATAATAGCCGATTTTCAGGGTAGCGAGTGTGTGCTTCCCATTACCGTTTTACCGTGTTGACCTTCACTAATCAATCACCCATTTTTTTTCAGATTAACTATTTTAATTT